GAGGGAGGGAGGGAGGGAGGGAAGAGGAATCTAGATCGGAGATTTTGCCAACAGACTCAGATCAAGTCAGATGTGCAGAACTAAGAAGGAGTAACCGAGCCAGAATATAAATATTTTTTTAAAAATGGCAGAATATAGATTTTAAAATATATGGGTTAATTAAGTTATAAGAACTAGTTGGGAAAAGGTCTAAGCTAAGGCTAAGCTTTCATAATTAATAATAAGTCTCCAGGTGATTATTTGTGGGCTGGCAATCCAAAGACAGTCCAATAAGAAAGCTTGCTACATTAGATGCCCTACTTGCACAGCATGTAAATCCACACAGGGCCTGAGAAAGCTGGGGGAGGGGAAGGGGGTTCTGAGTAGGCTCAGGGCTTGCCACAAACAGAGGCACGGCTTTTAAGAAGAAGCCCTGCTACGGAGCACTTGAATGGGGTTTATGAGCAATGGCAACACATTACTTGGTAGCAGGAGACTAGGTAGAAGTGCCTACTGGAGCTAGGGCAGATAGACCAGACCCAGCCACAGGCATGAGGCTCCACTCTGACCAGCCAGAAGGGAGCAGAGCTAGCGGCCAGGCCATGCTTCACATGGTCAGAGAAGGCTACAGACATGCAAAAAGTCAGGTCCAGACAGAAAAAAAAAACAACTCTAAACAGATACAGCATGTTTAAAACTGTGCTTTGATGCTGAAGGAACAAAAGAAAATGGGTATAGACAGTCATATAAAAATAAATAGTTTAAAAATAATAGAGTCTTTAAAGAAAGAATAAAATAATATAAAAGGAAAAACATATAAAATGGGAAATATACTGGGTGGCTGGATCCTCTTTGGTGCTTTCTTGACTTTAAACTTTTTAAATGCTAATGAAAAGAAACAATAGCTGCTGAGAGACACTTGATTATGGAAACTGTTAAATTAAACCAACCTATATATTTTGAGAATGTCTTAACATCAGAATGGAAGTCAGAAAATACGCTGCATTGGGGGAGAGGTTCTGCTTTTGTTTCCACAGGAATTAGTCTTCAAAACTAATAAAGACCAGATTTGATTGGAGGAGACCTGCTAAGGATCTTGGCTGCAGACATGAAGAAAAAACAAGGAAACTACAAGACAGGTGATGCATATGCTAATTCCTCTACATGGGAACAGCTCTGAGACTGGATGAGACATGATAAATCTTGTTGGCTACAGAGTTCTCATGACTTATTATTACATGTCATCCTTTCATATGACATGGATAGAGATTTATACTATAGTTTAGTTATACAGTCCAAACAGACTTATAAAGTTGGCAAATGCCTTTTACCTGCTCAATCATAGAACAAAAGAAAAAAAATCTTCATTAACTGACATGTGCAGACCACACATTTCATACTTGTGTTAACGCAGATATATATGTTACCTTTAAAAGTTTATGTGTTTTCAGAAAAAAAGGACCAGACACCAATGAAAACAAGTAGCCCACATGATTCAGTCTCTGAGAATGCCTCTGTTGCAATTTCCGCAAAATTCTGCATCAAGAACAACTTCAAAGCTGCTAGCTAAGACAGTCCAGCATCACAGACCACTCCAGCCAAGACTTCAGATAAGCTCTACACTTTCTGATCACACAGAGACTAAACAAAAAATAATGCAAACTGAGAGCAAGTTGGATGTTCAATACTGAGAAGAGGTAACTGAACCATGGGGTAAAAAGTAGATTTTTTTAAAAAGGGGGAGGAGGGTTAATTAAGTTACCAGAGCTAGTTGGGAAAAAGCATAAGCTAAAGCCAAGCTTTCATAATTAATAATAAGTCGTCAGGTCATTATTTGCAGGATGGCAGTCCAAAGATAATCTGACAAGAAAGCTTGCTACACTTTAAGAAGAGCATGTTAGTACACAGGCACAGGGGCTGGGGGAGCCCCATGGTGACATGAGGGGAAAACAGTCACCTGTGTGCAAACAGAAGCTCCTGGATTGTGAGAAAATAAAATACATATAGTATCATGATGGCAGCCCCAGAAGACTAACACAGAGCCCTTCCAGTGGCTCCAGGGGTCCTCAGTTCCCAGGGAAAACCTTCTGGCTCAGAACAGTTCAGGGGTTTGCTCCCTGCAAGTAACACTCCACCCTTTGAGCTGGACTGCACTAGAGAGGTCAGATTCTGCAGACCAGTGGCCCCAGCTACCTACCAGCTTATCTACCAGGCTGATTCACAGGAACAGCACCACCTATGTGGGTTCCTCATTGTTTGCAAAAGCTTTGCATAATTATTGATACTAACAAAGACTTGCCTTATTAGAAAGTACAGTGAGATCTGCCCCTTTGTATGGCACTAATCATTTTATTTCAATGATTCCCAGGCTTGGGTTTGGTGTTTTTGTTTTTTTTTTCCACTAAAGGGGGAAAATGTTCCTGAATTTTAGGGACAAACAAAAGCTAACAATTTTTCCCAAAAATGTACACTTTTTAAAAATACTAACTACTATTATCCTTCTACAGAAACAGTAAAATCTTTTAAATAATGTATTTACTTTTGTTTCATGTGCATTCCTGTTTTGCCTTCATATATGTCTGTGTGAAGGTGTTGGAACCCCTGAAACTCAGGTTATAAGTAGTTATGAGCTCCATGTGGGTGCTGGGAATTGAACTCAGGTCCTCTGGAAGAGCAGCCAGTGCTCTTAACCACTGAGCCATCTCTCCAACCCCAACAGTACTGTCTTGATCCCAGAAGAGATGATGCTTTCAGCTGGATGTATTTAGTGATATAAACCATCATTACTATATCATCAGAAAAGCATCACATTTATCTTGTCTTTCTATAGACCAAGGAAAGAACAAGAACCTAGCCACAGCTGGAACTCAGTCCTTTACTCTCAGGATGGAGCCCAGAACGTCATACGAGCTGGGCAAGTACCCAACCATGACCTATAGCCCCATCTCTAGGCTGACACTCAAAATCAAAAGATAGGGGATGCTATCTCTGCTGCTGAAGAAATTCTATAATTTCACAACACCATATTCTAAAGGTAGCAAAACAGCAACACCAGGAAGTTCTTGCAGAGTAACAGCACATGGAATAGGAAAACAGAGTATTACAGTTTCAATTCATTTACCTCATCCATGGGTATAGGCTGGCAAAAGAAAATCACAGACAACCCTATGTTTTTATGAACTGGTGCTTTTACTATGTCCTCCAGGCTGCTCTCAAACTCTGTAGCTCAAGAGAACTTCCGGAAGAAGCCTCCCAAAAAGCAGGGACTACAGGGCTACACCCCCACTACTCAGCTGAGAAAGCATAGAATTTTTATAGCTGTGGTTAAACAACCAACTGACTTTCCTTCACTTGCTGTGTCTACCTTCACTCGATGTCTAAGGAAAAATGGCAAGTCAATCGGTTTTAATACATCTTTCTGTGATTTTCCCCCCACATTTGCCGTTAATGTAACACTGTGGCCACTAGGGGCCAGTAGCAAACAATACAAGAATGGAAAGGAGGAAGGTACTCACCCGCACCTGTGCACAAGACCTGTAACGGAAAAGAAAAGGGAAGTCAGCAGATTCATTCAGCCGTGGAAATGCAAATCAGAAACAGAGCAGCTGGGGATTTGATATTGGGGTGGGTGTTGAGTGCATGGAAGGCTGGCGGCCATGGTCAGGGTGTCTTGGGGCTTTAAACACAGCGAAAGCTCAGGTCAATTACACAGGACTAACTGGGTTTTACGGAGGCCATGGGGCTGTTGACTACATAAACCCAGTGTTTCTCCGGCTTGGCTGGCTCCGTAAGCCAGTGCTCCCTCCTGCCACTGTGAGATGAACTGAGGCAGAAGGTCACAAAAGCAAAGTCAAGAAGGTCTGGGCCAGAACAAATGGAAATGGGAACCGAAGGTTCTCCCCACAGCCAAGTCCAGGGCCAGAGTACTGGTAAAGACATGCTTGAAGTGAAAAGTCGATGGGTTTGGGATCTTCCACTATACACAAATCAACCTTCAGTCTATATCAGTTGAGGGCAGTCATTTTTTCAATCACCGTATGCAGCTTTGGGAAGGAGTGAAATACTATTTAGTTGACAATGTCAATCTTCTGTTTGGGGGAGAGAACGTCCCTTTAGTGGAATCATTATATTCCATACCATAAATTATTTCCAGAAAGCATAACGTAATTCGAGGTTGTATGTTCCACTGTTTCTTAAATGCATGCTTTTGGAAATTGGAATTTCCCAAGTATGGTGATTATGAAAAGGAAAATAATTTAAAAAAAAAAGAAAAAAAACATCCTGCAACTTCCCACCCTACTTGGAATTCAAATCCACCCTTTACTCCCCAGCAGGCTCCTCTAGTCTTGGGGACATTCTTGAAGCTAAGTTCCCCTTAGAACCTGTACACACTTATCCCCTCTTGCAAAAGAACACTACCCCGAAACCTCCTTTCTTCTTTCCTAGGGCCTGCCCGAGACGTCACCCCTTCAGAAGTCTCTTCACTAGCCCCCCAGGAACACTCACCACCCTCCCTCTCCGTCACCATGCCCCCCCACGAGAGCAGAAACACAGTTCCTACTGTAGACGCTCAGTCAAATGCCACAGGAAAAGAGCAAATCAGCTGAGAATGAGGGAAGGCGCTCCCAAGGTCCCCCCAAAACTTTCCACTGTCTTGTCTTTGCACTACCTTAAACTTCTCAGCTCCTCTGAGGGGCCCCCAGTTCCTACCCCTCGAGCCAGGCGATATGTCAATCAAAGTGTCTATGATGGATCCCAGGAGAGGGAGGAAAACAGTGGACTCGTGGCTAACAAGGAAGCAAGCATATTTTGCCCAGTACTTGAAAATACTGTTCAACTACAAAACCTCCACACTTTAGGGCGGTAGAGCCCTGGCACCTGCCCGCCCAAGGTACATCTCTCCCCTGTGTCTATATGCTGCTGCCCCTCCTGCAATCCATTCATCTTAGGACCACCTGAAACCACCAGAGACCAGCATCCTGGCCTCCACATGTTTGCCAGAAAGCAAGAGAAATGAGACGAGTGTGGAAGTAACTCCAGACAGAGAGCACGACCACAAACATGCCAGCATGAAGCGCCTACAAGAGCCAAGCACTGCCCCAAAGTGCCAGCGCTGCAGCCAACAGCCTTGGTGTCCCAGGAAGAGGACAGGTCAGCGGTACCCCTGGCCTGGGTGCAGTGTGGTAGGGAAAGTCAAACAAGGATGTATACAAAAGCAGGGCGTGGTGCTTCCCGAGCTGCGAAGTCACAGGCACAGGGGAAATGCAAGGATCACACACTGAAGGGAACGGAATCACAGCTGAGTCCCTGCACCCACGTGAGGACGTCCATTCATAGTGCTGACTGCCGGCTCCGTTCTAAATGCTCTCAAACATGAACCCAATCCTCCAAACAACTCGTTCGTAAGAAGGTGAGTGCAGGGCCTGGAATTGAACCCTGGTGCTCAGACTACAGAGTCCCTGTACATAACCACCAGCTCTGCCACCTCCTAAGTGGAGAGAAATACACTTAGGGTTAGTGAAGGTTTAAAAATTAATTAATTATAAAAGATATTGTATCAACATGTTCCTTTCCTATCTTTAAAAAAAAAAAAAAAAAAAAAAAACAAGCAGGGTGAGAGCCCTCTGAGCTCTGTGCTGAGGCAGGCTGGGCAGGCTTCTCTTAACTGTCCCAGGGGCCCCTGTGCCACAGACAAGGCAGCCTGGGTCTCTGTGGAGCTCACGGAGAGCGCCACCACTCACCACTCAACCACCCACTTCTGCGCGCCTGTTGTAACACAGTTGCCCTGGTTCACACAACACAGTGAGGTACACTTGACTTTGGCCTTAACCTTCAACTGCACAGAAAAAACCCTGCAAGGCCCGTTATTCCTCTTCTGGGATCAGCTCGGGTCGATGAAAGACACAGCCAGGACCCCAGCCCAGGCCAGCCACACCTGAGCCTCTTCCACAAACCAGATTAAAAAGACACTTGTAAATTGCACCTGCAAGATACCTGGCCAGGTCATCCACACCTTTAAAAATGCCATCCACAGAAAAGCCACCCTTCCAAAAGGAAGTAAAAGCGCGGTTAGGCCTGGTGGTGAGAAGACAGTGAAGTCCCCAGGCTCAAAAACAGCACACCAAAGAAAAGGAAGTCTGGGGACAACTTCCCAGAGGCTGACAACTGGACATGGTGAGGACCACAGCCCTGCTGAGACTCTCCTCCCTCCCGTATCCTCCTCACTTCAGTTTCCACCCCCAAGGGAAAGCAGTAAGCATTCCTCAGGCTCCTTCAGAGTCCTCAGCCCGCCCAGGTGGCTGTGATGGCAACAAAACTAAGAATCTCCATCCACAGATAAGGACTCCGTTGCTCAGGTTACACAACCCAAGATCACAGATACTAGCTGTGCCCCAGCACAGGGAGACAACCGAGAGCCTGGGAAGAGACAAGAGCCACACTTCCCACTCCCTACCTTCCCCTGGGCAGAAACAAAAGCAGACGATGAGGTGTGGACAGATGGACTTGAGGTGGGGACATGTCCAGCTTCAAGGTCTGCTCCCTTCTCACTCTGAGCAACACACACGCAACCCCACCCCCACCCCCCAGCCTTGTCCTTCCCAGGGAGTTCAACCTAGGACTTAGGGCACAAGGGGCTCCAGAGGTCACAGCCTTTGCACCAGGGAGCTGCTGAAGGTGTGGCAGAAGTACTATTCACACAGGCAAAAGGAAAAATGGACCCACTGGCTGTGGCACATCCACACAACAGAAAAATCACTGGTCCGATGATTTCAGCAATGGGGTACTGACTCCTGATACCGTGGGCTGGATCTCAAAACGACGACGGTGGTCCAGGGAAGAGGCCAGCGACACATGAGCCCACATAGCGTACGAGTTCATTTCTATAACATCCAGAACAGAGACTCCACAGAAGCGGAACACAGGCGAGGGGTCACGGGGCTGGAAGGGGAAGAGGCCTGGTGTCTTTGTGAGAACTCCAAGTGTGGAGGACTGAGAGACGACAGTCACATACTGGGGAGGCACTAAATGCTGCTAAAACGCACTTTCGAGCGCTCCCTCTTATTAGGCACGTGTATTCTCACTTTTTAAAGATAGGCTGCAGCAGGACTGCATGGTCTTGCTCAGCTACTCCCCACCCTGCTCCAGGATGGAAGGAAAGGGAGTTTCCTGGAGAACAAAAAAAAAAGAAGAAGAGGAGGAGGGGGAAGAAGAGGAAAAGAAGGAACACTGAACTCTTCCCACTCTACAACCAGGTCACAGAGATCTCACTAGGAGCATGAGCCTAAAACTCTCAAATTCTCCCCAAATGTACATGAAAACACCACACACCAAAGCAGACCCTCTACATCCTCCTCTTCTCCTCTCTCTGGTGTGACTGCCCAGTTGCCCTGTCTCCCAGGCTATAAACTCTGGAAACCCTAAATGCCACACACACACACACACACACACACACGCACGCACGCACGCACGCACGCACGCACGCACGCACACGCACACGCACACGCACACGCACACGCACACCCTCCTTCCTGGATCACCCAAGGCTGCCTCCGCACCCGTGGTGCTGATCTCCCCACTGCTGGGCCGTGTTCTGTCCTCACAGCCTGAGGTCCTGCAGAGCACAGGCAGCCGCAGCCTAGGTCGGCCAGGCTCAGGCCAGGACAAAACCCATCTTTAACGCTCCCAAGACATCATCCCCACACATAAAACGAACGAGAGCCAGGACGGGTGGTTATCTGCTGTGGTCTTTTTGTTTCTGTCCCGTGCGTAGGATTAGGGCTGTGTGACTCTAGACAGAACCCTCTCTTTGGAACATAAAACAGACCAGCGCCTCAAGTAGGGGCCTTTTGTCAACACTGAAGGTGAATCGAGCCTGACCTGTTCCCTCACTCATTTACCCGGCGGACACCTCCCTTTCTTAACCCATGTGCCTGGGCCTTCATCGGTGTGAAAATAAACCCACCTGCCGGGTTCCTCTTCTTAGACAGTGTGCAGTGTCAGCCAGGAGCCCGGCCGAGACAGGTGACACACTCAGCCAGAGTAAGTGGGAGAGTTTCCCAAGGCTGAGGGCGAGGCTGTGGGAAAGCGACGGGAATGTGCAAGAATCCTGGAGTGTCACAACTGGAAAGAGGGGACACGCTGGGAGGGCTGCCTCTCCCATCTCCGGCTGAAGGTGCCCACTGGGCTATCCAAACAGGGAGGTGGAGGTCAAGCGTACCCCTGGCGCAGAACACAGAGGTCAGCCCCCTCTTGGGGTATAGGCAGGGGTCTGCCGGGGCATGGAGAAAGCAGCCCAGGCTCCCCTGACTATACTGCAGAACCTGACAATCTGAAGGGTGAGGGCCAAGAGTGGTCAAGGAGTTCAGCTCAAGCGGGTGGGGCCGGGAGGGCATGTGGCTGGCGCACAACTTTCATTGCAGCCCTTGGGGAGGCTGAGGGAAGCGGATGTCTGCGAGTTCCAGGCCAGCCTGGTCTACATAGTGAGTTCCAGGACACACTGAGACCCTATCTTAAAGGAGGGGGGCCTTTGTGCTCTGGGGCATGAGGGTCTCACAAAGCCAATCATTTCACCAATTATAAAATAATGGGAGGGCATCTTCAATAGACATCCCGCATCTGTGTTCTCTCAAGATTCAAATACAGCAAGGTTCCTTGATTCCAGCCCTAACACTCTTCCTCCGCACCAAACCCCAAAGCTACCCTTTCAATTCACCTGAGGATCTGTAAGAACCATTCGGTCCAGGCCACTCAAAGCCCTGCCTCAGGCCTTGGCAGGGTGACCAAAGACAGAGGGGGCACTTGAGGTGGTCCAGGCCCACCAAGAGCTCACAAAACTGGGAAAGCCCCCAAAGAAAATGGCAGAGCAAGAGGGCAGGGTAGGGGTACCTGCCTAGATGAGCAGGTGGACCTTGCTCAAGGACCCAGAGAATGTGGGTGAGAAAGTAAGAGGTCAGGACACTGACGTCACGTGTGACAGTGTGGCAGGAAGCCCCCCAGAGACTCCTGAGACTGCCTAGCTGACTCTCCTCCTAGCCTCTCACTGAGCTGCAGGGGTTACATTCATCACTTCATTTAACCTTCCGAGACTACAGGGAGCAGAAGCTATGTGTACCCCCATCTTACAGATGTTGACACCACACCTGGGAAAAGTTAAGCTCCAGTCCCGATACAGTACAGCTTACAGTTTAAGATTTAAGGTCTGCCTGACCCTGAAACCCTTGGCCTTAACTCCAGGAAGCACTGGGCAGCCTCATCTACTGGCAGGTCTCAACAGATGCCGGAAAGCCAAGGTCACCAACGCCTGGCCTTGCTAGGGCTGGCCTGCCCGGGGGACAGGTTGTATCAGCTCACTGGAACTGACTGAATGAAGCAGCTTTTGCAAAAGAAGCTGAAATCCCAGAGCAGCCTGAATTTTAGCAAGCGACTGGGCTGCAGGTTTTCTATTCTACACGTTCCGCATTCAAGAGTGGATAATGAGTGACTGAACTACACAATGGGTAACAATAGACTCCTTATCCTTCTAAAGCCAAGCCCACACACCATATTTCAATAGTTATTTTTACTCACTGATGTAATTAACCAAAATGTGAACGCTTCAAGCAATGTTTAGAATCAAATAGCATTTTATAGGGTTTGGAGCAAACTGAGTCCGACTCTGAAAGCCCATTATTCTTCCCAGTTAGAGTTTATCTCCTTGTGAATATTACCCAACGGCTCCCTGAAATACAGGTCACAGAAAGGCAAATCATTGACTTATGAAAAGGGCACACTGGCAGGACATCCTGCCAAACACAGACAAAAAGCACCGAGGCTGAAAACACCCCAGAGGCAGGTGTCATCTGGAGGACCCATCTCAATACCTGGGTCCTTGGAGCCCAAAGGCAGGGCCTGAGCAGGACAGCCAACAATATGGTGAACAATCATAGCTAAATGAGCACAGGCTGGCGTACCCGACCGCATTTGCAGATAAATGACTTCATTTGACCCTGTCGTCCATAAGAGTCAGCATCACCCAGAGCTCCACACCCTAAAGATTCAAGGTGGAAACTTCAGTGGTTCAGTGGCTGGGCTGGGTACCACCCATACCGAAAAGCCCAGCTGCCTGAGCTCTGGACTGGAGCCAGCTGAAGGCATGATGACCTCCTCCAAAGGCATGGAGGCTCTCCCTGAGCGAGGCAGAGCTGGGTGTGGCTTTGGAAATCCTGGGCCAGGGGCTTCTCTAAGCATTCTTAGCAGACCTGAGATTTTCCCCTCCAAGAAAGAACCTTATGAATAACCCAGAAGAACACAATTCCACATTTCACATCTGTATGGATGATAAGTGTCTGTGCATGCCAGATGAAAACAGCAGCTTTTGAAAATAATCTGTGTGCAACCGGGTGAAGCCACTGATCATCTCCACTTTATTCCACATACCAACACTCAGGAGGCAGAGGCAGGAGGATGGCCAGTTCCAGGATAGTCAATGGGAGCGCACAGCTTGTTTTCCAAGACAGGACAGCTTTAATTTTCAATTTAATGCAATAGATACTTGAGCAAATATTTTCATTACAATCCCAAACATTAAGAGAGCGGACTAAGGAATTTTTTTTGTTTTTAATGAAACACAGACACTTACAGAACCTTTAAATGGACTACAGGGAACACAAGCTGGGGCCTGGTGGTTTGCCTCACGGTGGACTTCATGAAGGCAGAAAGTAGATCCCATACACTTCAGCAACTCCACCAGACCTCACAGCACTAAGACTGAGCACAGATCCTCAGACAGTTTAGAAAGGCTCAGGTTTTCATCTGAAGAGAAGCTGAGACCCCAGCCCTTGCTCCTCATTATATGATGAATCAGGGGTGCTAAATCGAGTATCTTTTATTTGACTGATAATGTTTTGTTTGTAAGACAAGTCATGCAGTTTGTAGCCCAGGATGACCCCAAACTTATGATGCCCCTCCCTCAGTGCTGGGGTTATAACATGTACCAGCATGCCCAGCTTCCAGCACTGTTTAATTTTAAAGTCTTAAGTCTTTAAGAACAGGGAGAATTGGCATTGTTCTTTTCTTTTTTTTTTTTTTTTTTAAATGATGTTCAGCATCTTAAAAAAAAAAAAACCACTTTCTTATCTGGCCACATTCAAGCCATTAACCAGATCGGGGTGAGCCTCTCTGTGGAAAGTGCTAAGCAAAAACGGCCACTGGCAGTGCTGTCACCCCAACACTGAGGACAAACAGCAGTTGCCAGGCAACATGGCACCCACACAGCTGGTTTCCTCTACCGAGTGTGAGCACAGGACGGACTGAGAGGCTCTATGACTTTTCATGCTTTAACCCATTCCATTTATTTATGTTTCCAACTGCCTGAAGACATCTGAGTGCGTGGCCTTTGACAGTGGTGGGCTTTGCAACCAGAGTACAGGGGTTATGATCACCAATGAACTGTTTACTTTCTAAATTCTTCTCTGAGGAGGAGCTTTCTGGGCAACGTCACCTGCCAAATAATGTCCGTACTGAGAATATAAACTGGACCATTCTCTTATTTATTTTATTTTATTTTTTGGAGGGGGTTGGTGAGACAGGGTTTCTCTGTGTAGTTTTGGTGCCTGTCCTGGATCTCACTCTGTAGGCCAGGCTGGCCTCGAACTCACAGAGATCCGCCTGGCTCTGCATCCCCAGTGCTGGGATTAAAGGCTATACCATTCTCTCTACCCCTAAATGATCTCCTTATTCCCTAACCTGTTCCCTACCTGTGCTACCAACTCTACTCACAAACACCCCCACCACCAGCAAGGGACAGGGTGAAGCGCTGCTGGTCTCCAGATGCAGACGGACTCCAGACCCTGAAACAGGAATACTAAACCCACTCCCTGAGCCCAACCAGTCTCCTCTTGCACTGCCCATCTGCCCTAAAGTCTGGATAAAAGAAGCCAAGAGATACTGTTCACTAGGGCCTGAGGTACTCAGGACGGGCTCCCACAGCCCTGACCAGCTGCGTGCACCTGCAGTCCGTGGCTTCCCCAGTCCCTCTCTCCACATCCCTCCCCCTTTATCCTGGTCTGAGGAAAGAATATCCAGGTCCTCTGACTGGCCACAAAGGACGAAGAGGACAATCTCCCACAGTCCTCTCTGCCCAACAGCCTCCAGGGCCGATCCTATCAGAGGCTACAATGTGGGCAGAAGCATCAACAAGCCTATATTTGCTTTTACAGAACTACTCTGAAGTCAGTGCGTGTGTGCGTGCGTATTAGAGGTTCCCATACACCAACAACCTCCCCATGGATCCTCCAGATTCGAGAAAAGGTTGGAAATCAATGGAACGTTGGCATTCAGCCTGCGTTTGAAGACTGGCACCACCACTTTAGTCAGCAGAGGCCGGCAGCCAGTAACATGGCTTCTTGAGCTTTCTCATGTAACGTGTGGCTTGAGTGTGTGCATCTCCACCACAACTGTCGGTGAGGGGCCAGTGTAGCATGAATCTTAAAAGTTCTTATTAATAAAATCAAACCTGAGCCAGGTATTGGGGGAAACTGGAAGATCAGAGAACCAGAACAAGCCACAGCTAACCTCACCTGGCCAACTTCTCAGCAGATCCTGTTTCCTCAGACTGGAAGCCTCTGTGTCCTCATCCCAATGGCTCTCAGCTGAACTGCTGCTCGAGTCCTGAAAGCTTAACCAGCCAAATGCCTCTAGTTCCTGGTCCTCACACCTTATATACCTTTCTGCTTCCTACCATCACTCCCTGGGATTAAAGGCTCGCTTTCTGGGATTAACCATGCTTGGCTGTATCCTTGAACTCATGGATTTCTGCCTCTGGAATGCTAGGATTAAAGGCATGTGCTAACACTGCCTATCTTAAGTATCTATTGTATCTATAAGTGTATCTATTAAGTATCTATACTTAAGTATCTTAAGTATTTTAAGTTTTCTGTTCTCTGACCTCAGGTAAGTTTATTAAGGTACACAATATTTTGGGGAACACAGTACCACCACAGGCCAGTGCCAGGAGATGAGGTCTAGCAAGAGAGGCGTGGGTCACGGAGCCCCAGCTCTCAGGAGAGGGCTACTGCTGGAGCCAGGGCTGGATGGATTGTTATCACAAGAGCTGATGCCATCATGAAGCAGGGTTCCCCTATGCCCTGCCCAACGCATCTGCTTGTTCTTCTCCGTTCCGGCCATGACTTGAAGCAACATGGCTTCCTCACCATGTCCACCCACCCAATTCTGAACAGCCAGAATAAGGAACCAAAACAAAATCTTTCCTTTTTTTTTTTTTTAAAATTTCACAGTCTCTGATACTCTGTTGCAGCAGGGGGAAATGGTAAAATGGGTTAGAAATTATCACCTACTCTTCCAAGTTGGTGCTGGGCTTAGTAGTACACACCTGTAATCCCAGTACTTGCTAGGCTGAGGTTGGAGGATCATGAGTTTGAGGTCATAGTCTCACCAAAAAAGAAAAGACTCATTATTCAGCAGGCTTGACAAATATTCAGCAGCTTGTGGCAACATAGCAGGACTCCATGAATGACAGCAAACACCATGGGCCCCATAAGAGGGTGTCACCCAGGCACTGGACAGGAATTAAGAGGACACAAGCCCAAGTCAACAATTAGCAATAATGATATCTAGCTGTAGCAAGGGCAGGGAGAAATATTGTTAAGTCTGAAAAATGAGGATCTCAAACTTCATTTGTTTATACTTGCTGATTTTCACAACTTTAAGAAACTGGCTAGGGATATGTGAGATATCCCTGTAACTTCTAATTTTGTTATAAGCCTCAAATGCTCAAGAAATCCAAGACATGTTTAATGGTATAAACAGTATTTACCATTTAAAGTCACAGAGTGGTTGTGACAATTACTAAGTGATATAGCCCACATGAAGCATTCATAGACGTGGAATATACAATGAATAGTAACTGTTATAATTACTGCTACTAGCAGGTCCTCAGAAAGGAGGGTTAGATGAAGTAGATGAGGGACGGGCCATCTTATACAACTAAGAAAATGTTGGCCAGGAATGGTGGCACACACCTATAATACTAGCAATTAGGAGACTGAGGCAGGAGGATCTTGAGTTCAAGGCTGGACTGGGCTACATATAGAGACCAAGCAAAAGCAGGAAAAAATAAACACAACAAAGAAAAAAGTAGGACCCGTAAGGTGAGTCTGTCACTGGCAAAGACTGAATAGCAAAGAGAGCAAATTGGAGTCTTGGGTTCATTTCCTGAAAGAACTTGAGCTAAAAATCTTCCGACTGGCTATCGTATGTCTCCTATTGCCCATCACAGCCACAATGGCACTGGGTCCCCAACCAAGCTACCCTGCCTCAGCCCGGCATTTTGCAAAGCTACCATCAGACTTACTCATCACATCTCCTAGCTGCATTTGTCAGGTCTGGGTGAGGACCCAAGATCTGGGGTCCCCTCTTAACCATGTGACAGAATAGTCTCAGAAATGCCAAGTGTGGTAAAAAGGTTGCTTTGCAATCTTCCAGACTACAGCCTTCCATTTCAATGAAGACCTGCATCATCCAAACATCCGGACAGCATAGCAAACTCCACCTGTCCTCCAATGAGCATGTAACAACAGCCTAAGGACAACCGTCACCCAAGAGAAAACCTCTCCGAGAGACTGAGCTTTTGCTAAAACGGCGCCTTAGCAAGTCACATCGTGTACACACTGCCATACATGGCACAGAGAAACACGATGACATCCAAACAACAGAATGAGACCTGAATCTTCAGAGAGCAGATGACTGGGGAGCCAGCACAGTACAAGGAGGTGACTGATTACTTTTAACATCTCATTAAGCCTCATGAATGCCATCAACCAGAGGTTCAGTCAACTTCTATGAAAGGCCAGGCATTAAATATTTTAGGTTCTGCAGGATACACAAGTCTGTCTAGGTATAGTGTGAAGTCAGCCACCAGTACAGGAATGCCCATGACTGTGTTCTAATAAAGCTTTATTTATAACTACATGGGTTTCATTTCATTTTTTTAATTATGAAATTTTTTCCTTGCTTCTTCTCTCCGCTACTTAAAAACATAAACACTACTCTTAGCTCATGGGTCACACAAAGACAAGCAGTGGCTACAGTTGGGTTGGCCCTGCCCTAAATCACACGTTTGCCCCGGACAGAACCACAAGAACAGACTTGCAGCAGTG